AGGGAGACAGATGGCTGGGAGTTCCAACAGTGAGGTGAGGACCTTGGTTACATGGGAGGGACAGGGTGAAGGAGGGAAGGGAGAAAATACAGAGGGATGCTCATGTAAGTGTGGGGTCTTGGGAGAAGACGGCAGCGAGGTGGGGAAACAGGAAGCTGACAGAATTTACCTTCAGGTTCAACATTCTCAGTGTTTTCAATGAGGTCCCTGCACAGGAACAAATGTACAACATATCAGAATCTGGACAGGAAAGGGTTAAGACATCAGGTGCTGGGCTGCAGAGATGGCTCAGTTAGGTAAGTAAGTGTCACATAAACAGGAAGTCCTGATTGCAGACCCAGGACCCACAGAATGCTGGATGCTGGAGAAGCCGAGACAGGCAGATACATCCCTGGAGTTCACTGGCCTGGACTAACAGAAGAGCTCTAGATTCAGGGATAGACCCTGTCTCAAAAGATAAAGTGGAGGGCTGGAGAGACAGTTCAGCTGGCAAAGTGCCCACTTCACAAACACGAAGACCCAGATTTAGATCCCTAAGGACCCATGTGAAAAAAGCTGGACATGATGTGCCTGGAGAGTGGGGATGGAGAGAGCAGGATCCCTGAAGCAGCCTGGTCCCACTGATGAACTCAGGTTAGTGAGAGACCCTACCTCAAAATAAATATTGAATAAAGGTTGGAGAAACTGAGGTGAGTCACTACGTAGACCTCTGGCCTCTACACACATGCACAAGTGCACACAGAGACAACATACATGCAGGAACACAAAAGAGAACAGAGAGCTACTAAGGAAGACACACCATTGATCTCTGGCTTCTACACACATGGACACATGTGGATGTGCACCTGCACATGCACACACAGGAACAGTAACAACACACACAGAACTGGGCATGGTGGTGCATGCTTGTAATCTCAGTGCTCAGGAGGTGGAGACAGGGGACTCCTGATGTTCACTGGCCAACCAACCTGGTCCAACTGGTGAGTTCCAGACCAGAAGGAGACCCTGTCTGAACTAAACCAAACAAAACACACCAAACAATAACAACAGCAATAACAAAGATCCAAAACCCAAGGTGAAATGACTTCGTGGGTAAGGCCAGACCATGAAGACTGACAACTTGAGTTTCATCCCAAGGATCTACAAGGTGGAAGAAAAGAGAAAGCTCTCAGAAGTTGTCCTGTGATCGCCACATGTGGGCCATGTCAAGTCCTACTCACACACATGGATACACATGCACGCAAACATACAAAATCCAATAAACATAATTATTTAAAAGAGTGGATGGCACTTGAGAACACACGCACACGCACACGCACACGCACACGCACACGCACACCAGGAACTGGTTCATTCTGAATGGTCTCTGCCATCCTCAGTGACTCAAGATGACATCATGGTGTTCGGCCCTCAGAATTAGACTTTCTCTGGAAGAGAATGAAAGACCATTGGGAAGGTGGCATGGCTGAGGCGTCTCAGCACTAGCTGAAGGCGAGTCATTCTAGGAATCGGCTTGCCCTGGGCGGGAAAAGAGACTAGAAATAGGAAGAACCGAGTCTATCCTCTCTCACTACCCTGGAAACTAGAAGACAAGAAAGTTTCAGATCTCCTGGTAGGTGCTCTGGCTGGGTTTGATAAGAAAGGACCTGAGATGGGACTGGAGGAAGGGCATCTGGCCAAAGAAGCCACAGAGAGAGCAGAGATGGAGGAAGCTGGGATGCAGTGTGGCTAGTGGATGCTTGAGTTATCTGCACAAGGCTGTGGGTTCCATCCCAGCACCTCATAAACCGGGTGTGGTTCGATGCCTGTCCTTCCAACAGTTGGGAAGTGGAGGCAAAAGATCAGAAGTTCAAGGTCATCCTTGGCTACAGAGTGAGTTAGAAGCCAGCCTGAACTAATTGAGACCCTTTCTCAGAGAAAAGGGCTTGGAAGAGGAAGGTTCAGAGCAGGCCATGTACAGTAGGAAAAGAAGAGGCAGGAGAGAAGGGTGGAGAGGTTTGGAGGTGAAGAGAAAAGGGTAAGAGATATGGAAGATCTGGAACAAAGGATTCTGGGACAGAGGGGCTCACTGACCATAGAGAAAGACAGAGAGAAGAAAGGGAAGGATGGGAGAGCTGTTGAATCCAGGCGGATGTTCAAGGCTGAGAGGAAACAGAGACAGAGAGGGCAGCCCAGGAAATGGAAGGAGAGAGGGAGGAAGTCTGAGGCCTAAAGTGGGTGTTGTTCTGGGAAGGAGACTCCTGAGACCCTGAACTCCTTGTCAGTGTGTGAATCTGGTGCCTGAGGAGCCTGAGGTCATAGAGGACAAGGAGGGAGGAGACAGAATGAGTCAGTGGTTAGGGAGATGTGAAGAGCCCTGTGTGTGGTTCTCCTTTTTTTATGTTATTTGAAGGGGCTGGAGAGATGGCTCAGTGGTTAAGAGTGCTGGCTGCTCTTGCAGAGGACCCGGATGGCGCTCACCTGGCTGGGGTTTCGGCTTTAGTCCTCTGTCCTGTGGGGAAGAAACAGTGTCAGTGTGACATCAGTGCTGATCCTCCATCATCCCTCTCAGCTGTCCTCTGTGT